AATGGTGATTTTTGGTGTCTAATGAAGTGTTCTTAATAATAAAACTGAATAAAAAATGGTGAATGATATCTTATATTTTAGATAAGTGTCTAAATTAAGATACAATATCTAAATTAAGAACGCACACATGGCAAGCTATGAGTAGACGATGAAAAATTCCAATTTTTGAATTGCACTTCTAGAATTAATATGTTTTCATGTATTAAATTTTTGAAAATGTATTATGTTTTAAAAGTTCTTAACAAAAACTTTTACTTGAAATTTATTTTGTTTTTAAAACACCATCAAAAGTGTCTCTGTTGTATGCTCTAGAAACAACAAAATACTATATAAAAGGTCTTATATCCATAAAACATACAAAATTTTAATAATTAATCCATAAGACCCATACTAATGGTGTTTTTATTGGGCTTGCTCTAAAACAGTAATTAAAATGACTGCTAAGTCAAGAAGTAAAAAATCAAAATAATATCACTAATTTTCATTTATTTCTAATTTCAAATGGGCTTTTAATTTTAAACATGCTTTTAACTGTTCTAAACAAATGGGTAAATAACTTTAGTTATGTTCAACAGTTTAACTATTGTATATATAAAAAAAAAAATCAAAAATGAGTATGGGGCACGTGCCACCAAACTCTTAGTGTGCGTCCGCCCCTATATATAATTTGACAGCATCATACATATAATATTCAGTGCTACATACAAAATTGAATAATATTTTTTTAAATATAACTTTTATTTTCTTATAATAATAGGCTTGAGATAATTTGGAAAGATGGATTAAATCTTTTAGTAACTCAAACGGTAAAATTTTAAATAACCAAATATATAAACCAAACCAAACTCTAAATTTTTCTAATGAAACTTCATATACATATGATATGATAAATTTTATTTATTTGTCATTTTTAATAACTTTTAACAATCTCAAACCAAACCAAATCAAACCAGACCGAAATACAATTTAATTCTAATGTAAACTTATTTACAAATATGAAATACCCAAGAAACTTAAAACTCCATAATACAGTGAAATCTCAAAAAATTAATACTCGATAAATTGATAACCACTATAAATTATTAAAAAAATCTGATCTCGAGTCAGAGTAGTATAAAAATTAGCAAATTTCAATAAAATAAATTGTTTTTTGGATTTTATATGTAAAAATACAGTTCCAGTAATCATATAAATAAATAATTATACATCTATGTGAAAACTCAAATCCGACCTAAAGACTGAACAAGAGTTAATGGATTTTAAGAAAGATCTTTATTGAAGATAAAGCCGGAGCTCGAATGATACACGGAGGTTTAGGTCGTCGGAATAAGAATGCCGAACTAAACTGTTTATAGAAATAAAACCAAGAACTAGGAACAATAAGATTGCTTAGTTTGCCCTAGGTCTCGAGAGATGATTTTTGGATGTTTATTAAGAAACAGTTGAACCTTGAGAAAGGCTGTCTACGTACTCTTTTGAAGGGATCAAGCCATTCATAGTTCGTTATAAGAGAGTTAGATAGATAAAATCTATAGAGAATTAGGTCTTCTCCAAGTGTGGAGATTCTTGGATGATTGGAAGATATTATGAGAAGTGAATGACTTCTTTATTTATAGTCTGACAAGGCCGGTCTTTTGGAGATAATTTCTCCTGTTGGAATAAGAAAACTTCCTTCTTGATAAGGCCGACCTTCCATTTTTTCGGAACTTATCAGATAAATAGAAGATTTCCATTTATCTTGCCGACCTAAATATTCCTTAGGCTTTTGAAGTGGGCCTATCTCAATTGATGTAGGGCTTTTAGAGGAGGATGCGAAATCCATCTCTAACAATTTAGACATATATAAATAATATTATATGATAAAATATGATCATATTGTTGTTTCTAGTTTATAAATGTTGTTTGACTTATCTTTCAAATTTATTAATACTCGATAAACTAATAAACTTTACTGATCTCGAGTTAGGCCAATGTAAAAAAATAGCAAAATTTTGATAAGATAATAATTTTTTTGAACTCTTATATAAAAATATGGTCCTAATAATTATATAAATTAATATTATATATTTATACATATATAAATAATATTATATAGTAAAATATGAGTATATTGTTGTTTTTATTTTATAAATATTATATATTTATTTTTTTTAATTTATTAATATTTAATAAATTAATAAATTTTGCTGATTTCGAGTTAGGATAGTGTAAAAATTAGCAAATTTCAATAAGATAGTTTTTTTAGAATTCCTATGTAAAATTGCAGTCTAATTAATTATATAAATTAATAATTATATATTTGTACATATATAAATAATATTATATGATTATATTGTTGTTTCCATTTTATAAATGTTGTTTGACTTACCTTCTAAATTTATTGAAACGATGTTTTCTTGATTAATTTTACATTATTGGTTTTTTTATGAACACTAGTGTTTTGTCCACGCTACGCATAAGTTGTATAATTATATTGTATTTTATAGAATGTTTTAAGTTAATTTTGTGTTTAATATTGTGATAAATTATAGAATAGTATATTTTCATGTGATTCTTAGATATAATCGAGTGAAGTAAATATAAGAGGAATATATATATATAAAGATGAAAGAAATTTTTGTATAATAATTTGAAGGTAGATTAATGTATCTTATGGGTTAGTTGAACTTATTTTAAGAGTTAATGCATATTTTTGCAAATATGAAGGATAAAATTTAACTATTTTTGTATAATAATTTGATTTGTTATATTTTTTATTCATGTGAATAGTATCTACATGAACTATATATTATATTAGAAACCTATTGTCTAAATTTGGACATCTTACATTATAATGTCATTTCTTTAGTGAACACCATGAGTATTATTTTACACTTTCATAAACTTTTTGCATAATCTTCTCTTTCGTTTGATGCTTTTAAAAAGAAAAACTTAATCCTTACTCCATTTTTGTTTCATATTGTACGTTAGGATTTTATTTTTAATTTTTCATATAATATGCATTTCTCTACTTATCAATTTTTAAAGATTTAGTGTGTACATAGATGTTTTATAAGAAACCAAATGGCAATTAATAATAATTTTCTTTATTATATGGGTTCTTTATTAATTGATATAATATTTGTTTGATAGTTTAGCTAGCTCGATCATTTGCTAATATTGGTGAAGAGTCTAGAACTTTATAGTCATATATTATTTTTTTATAAAAACGTTTTCAGTTTTATGTTTCATGAACTTTTGCAAATGAGAACTAAGAAACAGTGAGTAACTGTCTTCAATTACCGGTTGTTTAGTTAGGCTTTTACGTCAGTTTCTCCACAATGTCTGATTACAACAAACAATATGAAATTCTATATCATTTTTAGGAACTTGAGATCTGTTATAAGATCAAATAGGTACAATTGTTTAAATTACTTTTCTCTAGAAGAAAGATAACCGAGTCACTCCTCAAGTTTTACTTTTGGCGAGAAAGACGTTCTCCAGCTCCAGCATTACTATGACTGAGACTCATTCTTGCTCGACTCACATTAAAAATATAAATGCAAAACAATTGTGAGATTGTATTTTTATGTTGCTTAGAGCTGTGTATTATTTATATCCTATATGGTTCATCGCTATGTCTTTTTTTGTCTTTTTTTTTTTTGACATCCTCATTGCTATGTTTTTTGGATTTCACTTATTTGTGGTCCATTTATTTAAGCTTTAATGTTTATTGCCAGTTTGGTTGTCATTAATTACAGAGTAAAGTTTGTGTTTAGTAATGGCTGATTCCGTTTCTGGTGAGTTAGAGGCAAGAAGATTGGAAATCGAGAAGATGATAACTCCATAAAATGAGCTTTTGTTTGAGCTTTATAATTGAGTTTCAGTGTAATTCGTTTTTAGTTTTTTTTTTGGGCTTCAGTTTTTTTTTTTTTAATTTATTAATGATAGAAGTTTTTTGTGGTCAGAATTTGAAGAAGTTTTGATTAATAAATTATTTAATAAAATAACTTTAAGTTATTGGTTGAAGAAGATGACATAGCAGTTTTGGAGTCTATCATTGGCTGATTATTTTTGTTGATGTGACAGCTCTTAGAAGTCTTGAAATCTTTCCCTTTTATATAAAGGAGATTAAGAATCAAACTGATAATATCACTATATTATTAATTTATAGAAGTTGTAATGTATGTAACGTACGCTTCTAGTTGTAAATGTGCAATAGGTATATATACTTCTTCTATTAAAGCTAAAAATCGCTGACACATATATTCACAATTGATCCCCAAAAAAACATATATTCACAATTTTGAAGAGAAAGTGTTGCCAAAGAAGTTACTAAAATGTTGCGGATATAGTATCAAATGTGCCACATATTTTGCCACTTATTTTTACAAAAATATTCTTAAAATACAGCCATAACTCACAATTTCTGAATGTTTATTGTAAAATTTGCAAAAAGTATTGTCGTGTTATAAAGAAGTTGCAATTTGGTAACGAAAATGTCCAACGGATAGTGTCGTCACAGTTTTGCAATAAATTTGTATTAGAATTGTGATGGTTATTAATTATTATAAAAATATCTCAAAAATTATTGCAAACTGGAAACAAAAATGAATATTGCAAAAAATGTTTTGCAATATCACTATTTTCTTTAAGTGCAACGAGCTGAAGGCGACTCTGATAGACCATGGAAGATGTTTCTAAAGTCTTTCAAAGCTGCTTCACCATTGCAGAGGAAAGAAACTTGAAGTATGGACCCAAGCCACCATAGCCAAGAGATAAAATTGCAGAGATATAATCCGACATTTGGATACTATTCATGGCGCTGTGTACATTGTTTACGGTTGCTGCAATGAACACTATTGACGGTGGACACCACATTGTTCGCAGTATACACTATACACGATTTATACAGTGATGGTGTCAAGTGCTATATGGTTGAGAAGTCTTTAACGTTTTTTTTTTTTTTTTTTTTTTCTAATTCCTTTTCGTTTACATTAACGTTGGATTTAATTAAAAAAATCAAGTCTAAAGTGCCATACCAAAGCTTGGTAATTAATAGCCTACAAGAAAAAATCCTAGACATTTAGAGCCAGGAAGATCAATCCATTGAAGTTGAACCTCAACCTCACCGCACTCGACATGTTTCAGTCTAAGGACTATGTCCTGAACGAGTTTACCATCAGACCAGATAACCCGAGACGCCTCCGCTAAGCAATTGTCTCGGCTAGGCTGGATCGTGGTCACAATGGTCCCACATGGGAGATCGTGCAAGTCCATACTCAATGCATTAACGTACGGCGTAATCTCAAATTCTGCATCTCCCATCTTGTCGTCTTTAGTGAATGTGTCGTGATCATACACCGTCTTGGAAAAAAAAAGACAACCAGTTGATTAATTAAGTGATATAATATAACATATGCTTTTATTCGAGTATCTTTTCTTATATATATAACTTAACATCATTGTAAGATAACTTACCAAGAGGACAGTAAGATTGGGATCTGTTATTGAGAGAGTCAAATCTTCGTTCCACTCTGGATTCACGTCATTGTAAATCACTCGAGTCTTCAATTTCTGCGCACATATTCAATTTTATAATTCGTCTCAATCATCTAACTAGTGTATATGTTTGCGTTAAATAAGGATTTAATATTTCTCAAAATCGCATAATCAAAAATGTATCACTACCTTGGAACATCACTGGTGCTCTAGATTCTCAAGTCTTCCTAAAAACTGGAACAAACAAATTGGACCCAACATATTCTTAACTAGTAAAATATATAATTACCCTATAATATGAGCTAGCCATTCCAAAAATACATAAAATGCCATCCTTAAATTAAACATTATCTCTTGTTTTTTTTATAGATGACCTTATCAACCTAGCTATATATAATCTTTCATCGGAAACCCTAAACCATTTAAAATCTTTCAAACGGGCCATATTATATAATAGTGGTATTCATTAAATATTAAATATTACTACATTTGTATGCATTAGGGTTAAGGTTGGTTACCTGTTTTCCCATTTTGACGACGACGTAAGGATCGCTACTGTTGAGATCGCGGATGGCCAGATTGACACCTCGCTTGATACGAATACGAAGGAGACCTAATAGATTATTCATCGTCCTTCGATCTTTATTATGCGTCTCCTTTGAAACAATATTGGTTTTCTATGTATCTCAAAATTTTCTCGTGATCAGTCTTGTAACATCTAGCTGGAACCAAAAAAGAAAATGATAAATAAAACGACCATGCAAATAAATTAATTAAAGTAGTCAGATAAAAATCATCATTGTTGATTTGTTGACTTCCTGCATAAACGTGAATCGAACTATCAAATAATTAGTTCGACTTAGATTATTGACACTATATTTAGGTAAACCTTGAAGGATTAAAAAAAAAGAAAAGGTAGCTAAGATTCATCCAAGAATGTTCTACGTTGTAACCAAATGATTGAAAAGTGCCTCCGTTAGAAAAAAAGAAAGATCTAGATAACCCTCTTCAAATCAAAACTCCAACTGTAATCTTCAATCGGATAAAAATCGATCAAACTCACCGTCCCAAATGTTCTGTATATGCTTTTGTTGTTCGATCTTCGTCAATAATTTTGGTTTTTTCTTGTTCTTGTTTACATTTTCATTCCAAAAGAAAACTGCATATCTTTTTTTTTTTTTTTCTGTTTTACTGGAAAAATGAGGTCAGAGTTCACGGAAAAAGAAAATCAAATCAGCAAGGCAGGGGAATGAACATTACTTGAGGTTTGGTGGGAGGTGATGACCAGATATTATTCAACAAAATAAAATTAGGTTATCCTGTTGTAGGAGGAAAAGATTGCTTTGAAAGTAGTAAAATCTATTTCTGTGATTATATGAAAAAGCTAATTTTGTTTCAGATTTTTTTTTAGCTTCAAGGTTTTTTTTAATTGCAATTCCAAAATATTTTCACTTATTTTCTAATTTGAAAAAGGATTAGTTTCCCAGTTGTCACAGTTTTCTAGATTAAAAAAAATGTGGTTTGATAAAAACAAGAATACTAGCGCTTTAATATTACGTTTTAGAAAGCTCAAAAATATCTTTATTTTGCATTTGAATGTGAATCTCATTTCTACAAAAATATTTTGAATATTGTGATTAAAAAACAAACAAAAACTGTGTTTTAGCAGGTCCATTAGGTTTATAAGAGAGCGAGCTGGCCCATTGGCCCATTTAATAAATACCATTCCGATGATCGGAAGTTCGAATATCACACAAAACTAATCAAAACCGTTTTCCGAGTCCTCTCTCTCTTTCATCGCCCACCGTCGCCGTCGTCTCTTTCACTACAGGAGATTCACCTTCAACGCCGGTGAGTCCAGAATCTGGGTTTGTTTCTTGTTATCTTGATAGGCTCATAAAAATATTCGGAGAGATGTACAAAACGTTGGTTTTAGGTCCGTAATCTGAACTATTGTAGAGCAAACTGATCAATTGAATTAGATGCAGAGTGAAATGATTGATTCATCTGCTCTTTCTTCGATGATACCTTAAAAAAAAAAATTGCATAGATGTTTTTGGGTATAGATTATTTCCTTGAAAACTTGCAATACCTAGTAAGTTGCTATGATTTGGATTGTCTTCTGTTATAGATTTGATGATACTCGAGGAACCATAAACGAAATACTAAGTGTTTCTTTCTCAGGATTACTGCTAAATCACAGGTAAATTTGGTAACAAGAGGGTATGTGTGGATGAATCTTCTTCCTACATATTCGTGTGATGAATTCCCAATCAGAAGTAGAGCAATGGGAAGCTCTTGACCTCGGCGATTCTGAGCTCCCTTCTTTTCTCCGCCCTTGCAAGCGCAAATCTCCGTCGAGGTCTCAGCAAACCCCTGTCCCTGTGCAGCAACAGAACCCAAAGGCGGGTTTTAATAGTAACACAAACCACCATCAGACTCTCCGCCGCTGCTCCTCGCCGGATCATTCTCTTCAGGGAGGTTACTCCGGCTCCTTGATTCCAGGACCTGCCGGAACTGTTCAAGTTGCTATCCGGAGAAAGATGAATAAGGATCCGAGATCGTTCAACGAGCACGGAGAACCGATTCCGACTCAAGAGTTCATACGTAAGGCTGCGGAAGAACCTGACTGGGAAGACAAGGATTTCTCTGAGGACCCGTGGGTCTCTGCTGTTGATTACATTCGTAGTAAAGGTAGAGCCTTTCGTAGTTTGTGATGCGAGCATTGTCAAATCCACCTGTGATTTTTAGATTCTTCGTTTTCAAATCCTTTGGGTGGGCAGGTTTGTTGAGCAATGGTGGAAATGCTATTGGGACACCAGTGAGCGAGATTAAGAGTGGATCTCGCAGTTGGTGTAAGGTCGATCAGGTATGAACAATCTACTCGTACCCTCTAGTCCTTTCCCTAAGTATATCAAGAGATGCAGTGACCATAGTCTTAGTTTCTGGTTAGAGTATAATGAAAATCTGCATCCTATGTTAGTCTGCTGGTGTGTGGTTGGCTTTTGCTTTGTGCTTGTGGAGAGAAAGGCTGAATATTCTGGAATAATGTCTTCTGTCTAATTGTTTGCTATTTTGCCACAAGTTATCTGGATTTTGTGGTTAAGTAAGCCACATGCTGATGCTATCTTCGTAATGCTCCATTATGAAGTGAAAATCTGACATACTTGGTTTGTGGTTGATCTATAGGTCGTGGCAATCGTCAAAACTTGCACTCCTAATGGTCTAGGTGATGTCATGGTGACTCTTAAGGTACAAAAGACAACATACCAGAAACTCGTATCGTAACAATGTGAATGGTTTCCACTTTTTGTTTTTGTCACGCACCATTTGTCATGTGTCTTAATTCTATGTGTATTGCTTGTAGGATCCCACTGGAACAATCGACGCCAGTGTGCACAGGAAAGTTATCTCAGAGAGTGAGTTTGGAAGAGATATACGAGTTGGTGCAGTGGTGATACTTAACAAGGTTTGTTGTTTAACTACAAGGGGATATATAACAAATCTCATTGTTTTGAAGTTGCTACTTTGTTTCTCAATGACCTTTTTGGGCTGAGATCTAGTGATTTACAGGTTGCAGTCTGCGCACCATCACGGTCTTCACGCTATCTGAACATAACACTGAAGAACATCTCCAAGGTAGTTTATCTTATGATATCAAGTTGCACATATTTATAGTCATTGTAATAGATGAAGATGTGTTTTTAAGGCTAGAGAGTTTCGTTTACAGGTTATCACAAAGGATACTCCTGTTGTACCAAAGCCTAACCGTTCTGAAACGAGTGCCAAGGCTCATGTTCCAGTACATGGTAGCAAAAAATGAAAACTTTTTTTCCGAGTTTCTTTCACAGTTTGATTGAGAAACTCAAACCTCTTTAACTTGGTCTATTACTGTTATAGATCTAACAGAAGAAAACGAGGAAGATTTTCGAATGCAAGCCAAAGTGTTTCCCGTGGAGCAAGGAACTACTCAAGGAATCATGAACAGCCTCAGAAAAAAGGCCAGAGAAGCACTCACTGATGTAGAAATGGAAGAAATGAATCCAGCGGAGGGAAGCAACTCCTGGCTAAAAGGTGTGAGCAAGAACCATTGTGAAGAGCAGACACTGTTAGGAATGCAGAATTCAATCAGCCAAGCAGAAGTTGCAGCAAGCAGGACAACCCCAAACACTCAAGAACAGCAACTGCAGGAAGATGTAGCTTATGGGACCGGTACAGCGAGTGACTTTAGACCGGTGAAACAGATGAGCAGAAGTCGTGAACCGCACAGTGGTGAGCTAGAGAGTGTAATGGAGAAGTGTGATGAAGCTACATCTGGGCCCAAGGTCAACAAATCTCAGCCCATGGCGTCTTCCAGCTTGGTGCCACAGTGGACCGACGAGCAACTTGAAGAACTCTTTGATTTTGACTAAAAAAAGGGACAGTTTTGGGTTTCTGTTGACGTAAGAAACAGTTCCACTTGGCAGACAGAGAGCAGTGAATGTTCAACCTTTAATTGTTTTCTCTAACTCGATCACTGGTGTAATTATAGTATCAAAAAGAAAAGGTTCAACAAAATTGCGAAAACATTTAAAACTTTTTGAAAAGGTAAATATCAGTTTTAACACATTAAATAACGACCTTCAAAACACGCATTAACACATTAGTCATTTTTCTAATTGAAACGTTGAAGAGGAAATTGACCTCCTCGACCCACACGATTTTTTCAAGATGAAATTTGTAACAACTAGCAAGTGATTAAATTTACCAATCTGGTTACAATTTGCCAAAAAAGCTCTTTAACAAAAGAAGTTCATATATAAATAAGTGCATGAGCATGACATTTGAGGAACCATGAATATCTAAGAATGAGATAGACGCAAAGAAGAGCTTTTTCTAAGAACAAAGAAAAGCAGATTAATGGAAACATAGCCTATATTCACCATTCATCGTCACAACTATTTTAAGTGCAAACTATGTCATCTCTAATACGAAACAAGCCAGAGATTATACAAGCTTCAGTGCAAAAAAAAAAACCGTAGCTACTTTACAAGAGAGACATAAGCTATGCACAGAAGCTAGGTCTTCATCAGTTAGTCTCCATAGGAAATTTCACCTACATATACTTCTTCCCTCTTCGTTATCTACCGAACCATGTTTTTTGAGAGATGATGATCTTGGTGATGGAACGGAGTTTTGAGGCTTCTGAGTCATAAACTTGAGCGCATTCTCAGGGCTTCACCAATTGAGCTTCCATGTCACGGAATCCACTCACCTGTTATCTTTTATCTTCAGTGACACAACACATACAAGGAAAATAATCAAATTCGTACATGGAAGCTGACAGCACATCTGGAGGTGCAAAAGCACAGGGCCCAATAAAAATTTTAAAAATTTCCTTACTAATTTAGGGCTCAAAATTTAAAATTTTATAAAATAGGGTATAAATAAGCAAATATTTAAAATAGCACAGGGCCCAAAAAAATTTTGACCCACTTTGAACCGGGCCTTGTAATACACCAGTGGGCATAGCCAATCGAGACAGAACAACTCTGTCTTCTCCTTGCTTGCCTTCTTATTCCGGAAGAAGAACAAGCTTGAAACTTTCCATGATGACTTTAATCTTCTTGACTTGGTAAGCTCTGGGCGAGCATGTGCTTTTGAAGTTCCACCATCGAGTCTAATCTCAGAGACTGATTTTGACCTCTCAAGGGTATCCAGAGGAGAATCGTTTGCGATTTCAACTTGATCTAGACCAGACTGCCATTAACATGGAGAATATTGGACTGGAAGATACTCAGCTTCAAAACTCCGCATAGTTCTTTCTCCAGACTGTCATTAACATGGAAAAAATATGATGACAGCAAGAATTTACTGTAGTTTTCTTTTCGAATTCATTTTCAAGGTTTTGCGAACTTGGGGCCTTCGCTTGTACATGCTAAGGTTGGGCTACGAGAAATTGTGAAAATTGAATAGTTTTAGGGCTATTGTGTTTCCGGCCCAAAGTTTTTAGGGTTTGCAGTTCTTTTTTTTTTTTTTTGCAGTTTCGGGTTTTAAGTTTCCATTTTTTCTTTAATCAACCCCAAAATTTAATCTTTCCATTTCAACAGAACATCGGTGTCGACGAATTCATCGATATCGCGTTACACGTACCGTCTCTTCTTCATTCGTCGACTCAAAATTTCCATGAAAAATGTGCACATATATAGGCTGCTCCTTGATACAGAGTGGAGATGGCTACTCCTGCATTGATCACCGAGGAATGGCCTCTTTACCTTTGGCTGCAGACAATTGGACTTTTCATTACAGATGCGGATTCAGCAACTTGTCTGAGAGACAACGAGTCTCCTCATATGTTGATCAATGCCTTCTTATCTAGTGTAAAAGCATTTGTACAATCATATTCAGTTTGACGAATGCTGTACATATAAAGATTTTTTCAAACAATGTAAAAATTTTCATTTTCAATGAAGAGAACTATATAGTAAAAAAGGTTTGTAGCTGAGAAATATATTATCTGTCAAAATAAAATTTGTGACAATTAATAAGTGATTGAATTTACCAATTATACTACATAATTCTATTATTAAATAGTCTTCAAATTCCTTATATAATAGTGTGTGGTAGCATTTCAAATGAATAGTAAGACGTAATTAGTTTTTTAATTTATTAAAAAAAAAATCAATATAGAATGATAACCCAAATTTAAGAAACTAAATAGAATAGTAATAACCTAAATTTATCAAAAACCTAACAAATTTAATATTCTAACAAATCACAATTCAAAAAAATTATCGTGCAGACGTTGTCCAAAAAACACAAAAAATTGACAAAAGATGTGGAAATAATAATATTTGTTGGTCTCAAGATGAAGTAGAACATAACCCTAGAAGAGTCCTACGTGTTAGAAGGTATTCCAAATATATAACAAGTGTTTTGGACTTTGATACAAGAGTTTTGACTCTCTTGGTCAATCACTCATTGTACTAATCAGTTGTAGTATATGAGTTTTATTGTCAATCCAAAGGAGAAGATTGAAACAGTATGATTATAACAAATTTTCTAATTTAAGCAGATATAAAGAGAGTTTTAGAAGTCTAACAACCTAAATGATCAAACATAAGTGAAGAGAACATCAAACAAAGAGTGAAAAGAACTTTCTTTGTAAACAAACAAAAGGGGTTTTAATTTCTTGAATTCTTGGTATGAAAATACAATGATGAAGAGCTTATATAATGCTCAGAAGTGAGATAACAAAACGGTAACAAAAGAAATAAATAGAAAGCATAAAATGTGGTTGAAATGATGATTATTAGTCTCCTAGCCGTTGGAATGAATGGGAAATGAGAGCCTGATTTGTGGTGGCGAAATGATATGATTCCTTGACTTGAATTGACGCTCAGGATGTGACGAGGTGAGTGAATGGTCAAGATCTTCAAGTGAGAAGAGATTCTAGTCTTGCTTTCCAAAGCTAGCAATGTAATCAAGCTCGGTTAAGGAAAGTAGCTTCTTCTTGGTTTCTTCTTGGATTTGGGATGATTCCTTCTGGTTATTGGCGTGGTTTAGTGATTTTGAATGTCTTGAATTGTCTCTTGGTGGCTGAATATAATGGTGAGTCGAATATAATGTCATGTGGCTCTTCCTTTCCTTAGATAACTCTAATGTTGCTCCTTGAATTTAGTAGTTTTGGCGGTTCTCCTTTGGTCTGATCATAGTAGCTCCGGTTATTGGCTAGTATATTGACGTGTTTATGTTCTGAATATCCCAAAAAATAAGGCAAAGTCGTGGTTGCCTTATATAATTCGTCATATGTGCATGTATGTCCAATTAAAATATTGGTCTTGCTTTTTGAATTGAACCGGACGAGTGTTGGCTCGAATCAGCTGGTCCTCTTGATGGTTAAAACTAATCAGCTGGTCCTTTTGATGGTTAAAACGTTGGTGTTTTAAGGCAATATCTTCATTGCTTTCAGCTACAAGTTCTCCAATCCTTTCAGTTACAAGCTTAGCATCATCCGGGTAAGCTCATTTGCTCTTCTCTTGGTCATGTCCTGATGTATAAGCATGGATGCTTACATCAATACTCAATCCTCTTTATCATCATTTGAACAAGTAGAAAGAGTTTTGCAACCAACTGCTTGTTCCATCAATTCACCAACTCTTATATCATTTTCATGCTTCTATAGAAAGTAGACAAATCCTTCTGCACATTTAAGTTTCCAAAACTTATCGTATCTAAGGTTGCAAAGATATTATAAAATAATGTTGTCAACTTCTTTGGATGTAGTGGTTTAAAATATTTCTGTGAGAAACTAATGTTTTTGTTGTAGATTTTTGACTTAGTTTTTGTGTTTTTTTTTGCATCTGTGCTCAGATGCGGCTTCTCAAACTTTGCGAAAAATAAAAGATGCTGAGAGTGCACTGAAATCACTGACATAAGATCTATTGCTACTGTTGTCAAGGAAGGAGACTGATTATGTCCTGAAAAGTCTAAATCTGAAAATTAACTGAAAACATAACACTTTTAGAGTAAGAGGCTAAGAGCCTTTGTACAATTAGATTCATCTGGCAAAAGCTGTATATACAAGTATCTTTTCAAGCAATGTGTAAAAATTATATCAATAAATAAGGTTGCAATTGAAAAGGATATTATGTGACAAGTTAAAGGTATGCAGCAACTTTGTTACTGTAATAGGTACCATTGTTGCCATTTAACTTTATAACTTCTCAGTATAGCACAATTGCTTTCTGCCATTGTTTCTCTTTGAATGCATGGTTTCCTTTGATCATGCGACAAAGAGAACAAAAGCATCTGGTTCCCACTGCTTATTCAATAACCAAAGATTAGCTATTGAGCAATGAATTGAAATCTTCTCTTTTGCACCTTTAGTATGTATTTATCAGAATTGATGCCACTACTCATGGAAAGCTGATTAGAGCCATATAAGAAAACAGAGGAATATGAGATACTTTATGTGTAAAACTGCAAAGTTTTAACTAAAAAGGGTAACAAAATAAGCTCTTATATAAATAAGTGGTGAAATTGCAAATAACTGAAACTCGCAAACCATCTCTTTTATCCACTCATTCGCCTGCCAAAAACCTCTCTAAAACCTCACTCTCGGTGAGATCTTACCGGTGGGAAGAGAAAAATGTCGTCTTCCCGAATCTTCTTAGTCGGCAATTCCATTTTCCGGCCTCAAAAACCCTCTTTTCCAATCTCTTTCAACCGTTTTCCTTCTGTTTCTCTTCGTTTCCGATGCTTCTCCAGTGAAGCCGCCACCGCCGCAGCATCCACCGTGGATTCAGATTTTCCGTCTCCGTCTCCGTCGTCTCCGCATCCATGGCCAGAGTGGATAACTTTCGTCGATCGCTTGAAGACGAAGGGATATTTCACCAAAGACATCGAAGATGATACGATTTACCAAGAAATGAACGTAGTCAAGGATGCTTGCCTCAGCTTCGCTCGCGATCGATACGACATCCTCAGGTATAAACTTTGAAATTCTCATCTTCCAAATTTTCATATTACTGATGTTATCGCTTGCTCTTTTGATGCAGATCATTATCATCGGGAGATGTACAAGCTCTAGTGGAACGTGGATGCCCTAATCTCTTTCGAAAAACTGTTAATTCCTCCAAAAGGATTCGAGCTCATGTTGGATTAGACGAATCAGATGTATGTTACACATTGTTGCCTTAGCTATTGATTGTTAAAAACCTTGGAGATAGAGTGTAGTGAGATGTTTAACCATAAGAAGTGTTTCTTTTGAAAATAGGTTTGTGCTTCTTGTGTGCTTCGTGACTCGTGTGATAGAGCTTATGTGATACTTAAAGGCTCAGAAGCTGATGCTCGAACCGTTGATGTTATGCGTTTGCTGTTGTTCAATGCGCTTGATTCGGTTGTCATCTCTCGAGGAACGATTCAACCAGGCAGAGAACTTGTTCATGAGTCTGCAAGAAGACTTCTTTTAGAGTTGGTTGAGTTCAGTGAGAATCCTGTAAACCCTGTCTTGCCTAAACCTGCTTCAAAGGAATCTTTGCCTCCGAAGGAAAGGGTTTTTAAGGAGAGGGTTTTTAAATCGAGGAACGATGGGCCTTCTCAGCGTGTTTGGTCTCAATACAATGCAGATTGGACTTGTCCTAAGTAAGTGATTTTTACGAATGAGTTTGCTTTTTTTTTCATGCCTCTAGAGAAACTGGACAAAACCCTTTCTTGTATTTTAGATCAAGTACTAGTTTCCTAAGCTCTTTCATAACATTTCGTATCTGAGTCTGCAAAGATTTTATTCAAGAATGTTGTCAGCTTCTTTGGATGAAGAGGTTTTATAACATTGCTTTGGTGCTTTTGCTGTAGATTTCTGACTTTGTTTTTGTGTGGGTTTCTGCCTCTGTGTTCCTCTACAGATGCGACTTTTTGAACTTTGCCAGAAATGAAAGATGCCGAGAGTGCAATGAAGTCGCTGACAGAAGATCTGTCGCTGCTGTTGTCAAGGAAGGAGACTGGCTATGTCCTGAGTTAGTCTAAATCTGACAATTACCTGTTTTTCTCGGAATCAAAAGTCATAATACTTTTATGACATACCCTCATTGGTTATTCCTGCTGATTCCACAGGTGCAATTTCTCAAACTTCTCAAGAAACCAGAGCTGTCTGAAATGCAAAGCAAAGGGACCAAAGAGAACTTCAATGGAGAGTGTTGAAATGAAAAAAGGAGACTGGAACTGCACTGGGTTAGTTTCCCTTACCTGCCTCTAAACTATCTTCTTTGTGTTTATGATCTGTCTCCTGAGGACTGAAAGCTTTAAAATATCTTGTCTTTTAAATTGCCTTTGTGTTTGATTGATTACTCTTATATTGATCATACCACGTTGTGTATATTCTCAGGTGTGGATTCATGAACTTTTCTAGCAACAAACTGTGTAAACAGTGTCGGGAACGGCGCCCCAAGAGGCAACTGGAGCCTGGAGAATGGGAATGTCCCTCGTGAGTCTCTCTTTCCCGATCTCTAATTGACAAATTTGTTTTTTTTTTTCATATCCTAAACCCAAACACTCTTCTTCCCTTGTCTTTTACGTGTGATTCTTCTACAGATGCGACTTCTTGAACTATAGGAGAAACACTGTGTGCAAGAAATGCGAGTGCAAACGACCTAGTGAATCCCATAACCATCAAGATCAAGATGACCATACATGGAAGCGACCTGCCTTGCTTTAGACTTTTGCCATTGGCGTTGTAAACTTTTGCTTTTGGACTTGACAGATTTCACTGCTTGCTACTTCCTTTCAACTTGTTCTTTCTTCTTCGTCGTTGAGTTCCAAATTTCCAAACAGATGAACAATATAAAGCAGAATGATGAAAAGTTGGAAACCTAGTCTCTAGTCACATTCATCGTTAAAGCTATTTTATATGCAAACTATGTCGTCTTTAATACGAAATAAGCCAAAGATTATACAAGCTTCAGAGCAAAAGAACCTAATTGTTCTACGTTAGGTTATAGACCTTAGCTACTTTACAAGGGGATTCCCATGAGAAAGACACAAGCTAGGTCTTCTTCAGATTACTTCTTCCCTCTTCGTTATCTACCGAACCATGTTTCTTGAGAGATGATCTTGGTGATGGATCGGAGTTTTGAGGCTTCTGAGTCACAGAGACTTTGTTCATTTCACTGTTTTCCTCAATGGCGTCCAGCCGATACATTACCTTAGACCGTCCAAGCTTAAACTTTTTGCTCCTTGCAAACTGATAAGCCGTCACTGCGTCTATGCTCTGCAGAAATACTATTTTCGCAGAGCTTTCCCCTGGGTTTACATCAGTTCTTGAAGCGTCGATTTTCCCAAACACGCTGAATCTCTTCAACAGTTCTGATTTGGATGGGAGATTCCCATGTCTACTCAAGAACTTCATCCGCAAGCATTTTGGATCAGCAAGACGCATATCTTTCATCAAGTGTAGATTCAAAGGTTTATCATTAGAAGTAGGTTGTTTGCCTGCTTTCTTCTTTCTCTTGGAGTTACGTGCAGATGCTCTGTCTCGACTCCCTTTCCTTTTGACCCCAGTTGATTTGACATCATCAACTACTCTCGTCTGGTTTCCAACAGCTGTTGCAGCTTCCAAATCTTGTAATGGTTCTGCGGGTACAACGCCTACATCATCATAACTGAATTCTTTGTTTGAAGTCTCGGTAATATGTAGCGAGCCCTGTCCTACCTCCTTCAACGCATCATCAGAGCAGTCGTCTTGTGTTCTATTGAAAGTATTCCTATCTGACGATTCATCATCCAAGGTCTTGGCAGTGATCATCGAGCTATCAAGCTTGCTTCTTGGGTTATCATATGTTTCTTTCACTGAACAGGCTTGGTTCTTGCAGGCTTTCAGAACAACAAAAGAAATAGGCTTTGCCAGAAAAGCCTTCTCGTTACTCGCACCAAGCAAGGGTGACAACTGTTTTGCGGAGGATGTCACAGTTCCATCGTCCGAACCAATGATGCCATCATTACTTTCTATCATAACATCAGGAGGTGCTTCTGATACAGCAGCTCTCGGGGCAGCAACGGAAGTGACGTCTTCCTCTATTATATCTTCAATAGAAGATTCTGAATTCAGTAAGCAGATTGTCTTCTCAACTTGACAGAGTTCTCTGTTCTTTGACGAGTGACATGCATTCTCATGGTCAGGTGTTCGAGCCATGGTTACGCAAGCTTTCATAACGCTAGAACCAGAGTTGGTAAGACGGTTCCTCGTATTCCATGTGCAAATCTGAACTGGTTTATCAACATGCTGCTCAGATGAAGGAGAAGAAGAACAACAAGGTGTATCCTTGGGCAATGGATCTCCAAGACTCAAATCTCTACTGTTTTCCATTTCTGCATCCGAAAACATAGAAACCGGGTCGATGCAGTCCATCTTTTCGGAGGGATCGAGACACCAATCTTGTTCTTCTGAGAGATCTATTAGCCTTGCACCTGCACACATATTTACAAAATCATTTGAGAATACCAAACCACAGCAATGTTCGCCTTGATCTAATGTGAACAGGGCATATAGATCAACACTCAAATTTGGCTTCTTTAAATTACTCTATAACTAATCAAACGTAACACTATCTATAATCTGCCTTGAGCAGTTCTAAAGCATATAAAGAACACCAAAATGGGTTTCATTTCCTCATCAAACAGAAAACCCAGAGAACAAGAACTTACTTTCTCTAATTTCTTCATAGATTGATTCGGAGCGGTTAAAATCAACAGTGTATCGCCGAAAGCTAAGGATCTGGGCGGTGGAACTGTTGGTCTCAGCTAATCTCCGGAGAGGCACCCGTAGCGAAACGGCCATGCCTCGAACAAAGCCCAGAGCCGATTTCGAAGAGGGAGGAAACCAAAGGAGAGAGCTTTCTCTGTCGAAGTAGGGCGAATCAATCGGCGGCTGGCAAGAACACCATAGCCCAAACGAGATGTTCCAAAAGTGGGCTTGCAAAGCTCGGTTCACAAACCGGCGATACCTCCATGAATCTGAAACTAGAGTTCCGAAATCTCGCTCGAAGCTCCGGAGACAAGGCTTTGGGACGTATCGCGGTTCCATCAGGCCGAAGAAGGAGACCAGAGACCCAAAAGGTTCGGATGGATCCAGAATCTGACCCGGAATCCATGTATCTGAAGAGATTAAAGTCACCCACACTAACTCCCCTTTCTTCCACATCTTCTCTCTGAGAAATTAGGGTTTAAGCTTTCTCTCTGCAAATCATCTCTGTGACAGCAGAGAAAGTGTACTGCTCTGTTTAAATAAACGTCTCCTCTGCTGATTTTTTGCATTTTTTTTCTTTAATTAGATCGCCTTGTCACTACACTCCATGCTGTTTTTAAACTTACAGATATCAACCTCTTGTCGTTTTATCAACATATTGTCTACACACCATGCTGTTTGTCTTCTGACAGAGAGAACTCGTGCCGTCTCATTTTCTTCGCCGTTGAAATTAACCACAAACACCTGCATACTGTTAAAAGCAGGCTCAGCTCGGTGATTCAATGGCGACGACGGTGAATGTCAAACTCTCTCGATCAAATCGTATCTATCGCTCTTCCGTATGTCTCGAATCTCCTTCACATGATGATTACGATAATAAACGATGAGGAACGAATGTGAAAGCCTCTGATTTCCAATTTTGATCAGGAACCAGTGGAAGGAAAAATTGTGATAAATTCTCCTAATTCGATTTCCCACCAGGGAATTCGTTTATCAGTCAACGGATCGGTCAACTTACAGGTTTCAGATTCTCGATTCAGCCTTAATTGTTTCAATTCGTGGAAAATCAATTCCGACTTAAATCTCCGACTATTCTCACAGGTTCGTGGAGGATCAGCTGGAGTTATAGAGTCTTTCTATGGCGTCATCAAACCCATTCAAATCGTGTAAGCATTGTTGTATCTCTGTTCTCGTCTTGTTTAGTTTCGGATTTTGAAATTTGATTCATCGATGTCAAAATTACTAAAGCTTAAAGCTAACAACTTCGAGTTTCCTGCTTCGTTTCTTGAACATTCCCACAGAAAGAAGACGATCCAAGTCGGGTCTTCTGGGAAAGTCTCTTCAGGAACTACAGAGGTATTATATACTCTGTGTCATTGGTTTCGTAAGCTCCAAATATTGAAACTTGAGCTGTATGGTTGGTGTTTGTTGCTGCAGATACCATTCTCTGTAAATCTCAAGGAGGATGGGGAAGGCATTGTTGAAAAGTTCTACGAGACATTTCATGGAACTAACATCAGTATACAAGTCAGTAATTTTGATCATCGTTGAAAAGAGTTTTAAGGTTTTCATCTGAGAAATGGGAATTAAATTGATGCAAAAATCTCTGTGACAGTATCTACTAACTGCAGATATACCGCGAGGATACTTGTACAAGCCTTTATCTGCAACGATTGAGTTTATAATCGAGAGTGGTAGAGGTACTTTTTCCTTGACTTCATCGATGTCTGTGTGAAAATTTTGAATTGTTTGTGATGTTTATTCTCGTTTATTTTTGGTTGAAGTTGATCTTCCTGAGAGGCCACTTCCTCCAGAAATGGTCATATTCTACATTACTCAAGACACACAGAGACATCCGTTACTTCCTGAGATTAAGACAGGTTTGTCTTCTTACATCTTCGGAGATTTTGCCGTTTTCCTGGTCTGTTAATGAGAGAAGTAATTGGACTGTTTGATCTCACAAAGGTGGTTTCCGAGTTACCGGAAAGATAGCCACTCAGTGCTCTTTGCAGGATCCACTCAGTGGAGAGTTAACAGTGGAAGCATCTTCAGTTCCTATAACTTCTATAGAGATTCACCTACTCCGTGTTGAGTCAATAATTGTTGGGGAGAGAATTGCTACCGAGACTTCTTTGATTCAGTCTACACAGGTTTAACTGTTTACCGTCTAGTTTGTTTATGCAAGAACTGTAATATCTCAAAATGCTTGCTAAGACAGTTCCTCTTCTCGTCTCATGTTTTAGATTGCAGATGGAGATGTGTGCCGTAACATGACTATCCCTATATACGTTTTACTTCCTCGGCTATTAATGTGTCCATCCGTTTTCGCAGGGTGAGTTTCTGTGCTTCAATTTGTACTAAAACCTAGGAAGTATTTCTTAAAAACAAATGTCTCTGAATTAGTTTATACACACTATAAACTGATGGATCGATGCTCATTTTCATCCAATACTGTATGTGTTTGTGGAACAGCCCTTTCTCAGTGGAGTTTAAGGTCTGTATCACCATAAGTTTCAAGTCGAGTCTAGCCAAAGCACAACCGAAATCTGATCCAACGGCTCCAAGACTATGGGTAAGGAGAACGAATCTTTCTTTCTTTCTTTTCTTTTCTCTTCACTTATGATTTGAATCATACGGTAAACATACGGATTCATGAGTGTTTTTTTCAGATGGCACTGGAGAGATTACCGCTGGAACTTGTCCGAACAAAGCGAGATCAGTTTAGCTGCTGCTAACATAATACAAGACCACGACATATTTCTTTGTTTGTTGTACCCATAACCAAAAAGTATACAAATACTGGTTGTTTAAATTTTATTCTCCTAGGTTACTCCAATGTTTGTTTACTATAACTCCAAGATGTTCCTACGACGCACCAAAAGGGCAAAGACTCAACACAAATCTATTAGCTTTTTTTATTAAAGAGAGTGATTTAACCCAAAATTTGATTGAAATGAATATGAACAATACGTGCGTGTGTATGTACATATCTAGCTAGATAGAAGAACAAGTGACGGTAAAAAACAAAAGGCAAACGAGAATTTATCTCCTGTATCTTACAGCCAATGGCCATTGTGGCGAATCAGGATGAAGAGCTTTAAGCAACGTCACAAACTTGAGTGCATTCTCAGGGCTGCACCAATTCAGCTTCCATGTCAAGGAATCCACTCTTTTCTTCTCTTTGATCTTCAATGACACAACACAGCCTTGCGATTCAACGATCTGGACAAGGAAGGACGATATTCAAAAGTTCGTACATGAAAGTTGACATCACATCTCGATGTAGTGCGAGCAAAAGGGGGAAGAAGAATGAAGAAACTTCTTACCGTCTCAGATATATCAGAAATGGAGCAGCACGAGTCAAGACAGAAATACGGAGCAGAAGAGGAATACGCTGTTGGAGAACTAAGTTGTGTGAAGTCTTCATTGCATATAAAGAGACGCCCACCAGCCACAAATAGCGACCGCCACAGCACTTCTGTACAGTTTAAGTCAAACAAAAATCTTAGTATACAACCACCAGTGATAGCTTGTATTGGAGGCTTTTGACGCAGATAGTAACGAAACTATGCAGATTCATGGTTCATGATTCAGAGTGCTGAGTGCACTTTACTCGCATGCAAGTGAAACAAAGGACCCAAAATATATTCTATGGTAACGTTTTCACTTTTCAATGTCATGTAATAAAAACCAGAGAGATAAAAAATGAAGGGAAGAAGATGAATCCATATACTCTGGGTAGCCGATGCATAAGTGATTTGGTCTAAACACAGGTTTGCAGAATTACCGATAGATAATGCACTTTCAAGTCTATGTTGACGTGTGGTTTAAGGGAAGAAGATGGAAATTTGAGTGAACCAATTTTTTTGTCAATCTAGAATATCATAGATACACAGAGAATATACCTCCAAGGGTGCTGCTCTGAAATTGGATAATATTATACTGGAATATACTCAGCTTCAAACCTCCACATATTTCTTTCTCAAACAAGTCCACCTGAGTATTCTCCAGACTGCCATTAACATGGAAGAAAAAAATTACGACAGTAAAAATTTACAGAGCCGACTCTGTGCTGAAAGTTAATAGTTTACCTTTGCAGAGAACATTTAACTTTTGTAGCCTGAGAATCCAAAGCTTGTATGATATTGAGTAATTCTGTTGTCCTCTCAATGCACTTAGTTACAAAAATGTATTCTCCATCCTCCGAAAAGCGTAGCCTACTCAAAAAAAGAACGAGAAAGATTAATCAGGACATGGACATAAAATCAAATCTACAAACCTGAACCATTAAAAAAAGACCAACCTCACAAGCTGAAGTCCTAGACCGACTGAAACGTCTTGTAAATCGCTGATTCCATGGGAACACAGTACACTTAAAGGATTCCCTGCAGAGACACATGGCCGTTAAGAACTCAGCATCAACAAAACTAATGACGTGATAGGCATAGGAATACAGCTGATTAGTCTAACCTTGATGATCAGTAGACATACCCAAGAGTAGTACGTACAGCTTGTCTAGGCTACTCAGCAACAGCACTACTTCCCTGTATTTCAAAATATTGTCAGAAAGGGAAGAGAATAGATAGCATCCTGTGAATGATGTTGCTTCTCAACTAGCTACGCAGTTATATAAGAAAATCCGAAATTCACATAAGCTTTTCACACATCACCCACTTTAACGAAGCCGAAAGCATCTAAATCTAATGCTATCAATTTGATTCAATAATAAGAAAAGCCTCGCCATACTAGAAAAGGATGATATCTCATTTCCCCCCATCAAGTCAGGAAGTAGATATCAAAACCAATGTATAAACGCTATTGAAAGGGACTTGAATTACTATCATTTATCTATATACTACAACCATGCTAGTGGAACAAAAACTTACCGTTGCTTGTACGCGGAACCATTCTGTAGTATAAAATCACAGCTCATATAAGTCCTACAAGTTTCTTGACAACTGGAACCTGACAGTTTTGCTGAAAAGTATTCCTCTACTAAATCTCCCTTTCCTTCATGTGTTCTTTCAGTCCCCAAAGATCTAATAATGCTATTCCTACAAACCGTTGTCAGGGAACTTTCCTGCAAATGATCAGAAATACACCCCTCTTCGCCAAAAAAGTAACTATCTGCATCGCTCCTTAGAGATGTCTCCCCATTAGTATGGCAACTTTCCTCTTTCTGAAAGGAAACATATCTTTTTATAGGCTTCCTTTTGCTTTTCTTTATCTCAACCAAACCAGAATCAATGTCACCATTACGCAATTCAGAAAGAAAGTTAGTGGTATTCTCCTTCATTGATTCACCAGTCCTGAAAGTTTTTATTATGCTACCATTCTCCGGTTGAGAATCACATCCCGGAACGTCCTCCCTTAGTCTATTCACATTAAGAAGATCTGTCAACCGACCATCTTCAGGATTCGAATACTCAGACTCAGAGTCATAGTTATCATCTTCACTGCAACTGCTTGTGCTATCAGATGATGCCACTGAATAAGAATCTGCAGAGAGCTGCAAGATTTCTTCCACCAAGTTATGACGTCGATATAAGACATCTTTCCGATAATGAGGAGGAGACCCAGGATATGTTGATGATGAAAATGATCCCATCACATCTTGGCTTATATCCCATGTTGACATATTTCCATTTTCAGCTAACTTCTCCATGGCGGGTGCTGCAGAAAATAGGTTGTTTGGTTCGACTGACACAGATTCCATCTCATCATCTAAATATTCCTGATACTTCTGATTTTGATCTCTATTTTGAGGTTCTAATGAAGAGATGTCATCATTTATCTTTTGTGTCTCGGTACCTTCAACGTACTTCATATCATCCATACCGTTTTTATGATCCACATATGAACCAGTGCATTCTAAACTTTTCCTATAGCTCTTATCTCTTGAAGCTCGTAAAGACTTGGACCCATATCTTGGTGCTCCACCATGCTTCCTTTGGGTTTCACTAGTCTTTGAATTGTACTTCTTTTCCATATTGCTGTCTTTGCTGACATCTGCAAAATCCTCAGATGAATGATCCATCCACTCCTTGAACTCTCGCAACCACAGAACAGAGCGTTCTTTCTTCATGCTTTCAACTTTCCTTATAAGGCCAAATATTTCAGCCTCTTGATCACACTTTACATTCTCTTTGTCCTCGTGATCACTTGAAACTGACTCTTGGTCAGAGTTCACGAAGGTGACATCAATAGAAGCGAGCCGGCAGATCTTTTTCTGTTAAAGGTTGAAACAGTATAATAAGCTTTCAGTCATTGTATATCAAACAAAACATACTGAAAAGCACAAATAGAGAAGCTGAATGCGACATGTCATTAGCTCAAAGCGTTCTTCAGAAAGCCACACTACAATGCCCAACAATTAATTGGAATTACTTTTTCTTTCCTGAATTCATTTTTCTGAATACACTATCACGCAGGAAAAAATAGATATAATAGATATGTGTGTATTGTAAATGAACTTGTGGTTGCTTACCGCTTTTCTATTGCAGTTTCCTTCTTCGTTACCTTCCTCTCTAGCTGGATAATAGAATCCGTAGCTTGCAGGCTCACTATGCCTATGGGCTACAATGATTTGCCTCTTCCAAAATTCTCTAGTTCCTATCTTTTTGCCATCTAGCTTCAGCTGAAAAGCGATATAACACAAGAAGCATTACAAATCAAGCACAAGCTGACATAGCTCAATTTCTATCTTCCCGACAAGACTTCAGGATCTCCAAAACAAGAATAAAGAAAACCCTTACATCATCTGGAAGAGCAATGTAGCTGAAGACATGTGCTCTGTACCATCGAGCACAGCACACTGGATTTCCTTCCAGCCACAGTTCTTTCAGTAACGAAAGACTCCAAAGCAACTCCAGTTCTGAAAATTTTGAAATGATGTTGTAGGAAACGTCAAGGCCTTCGAGTGACTTCAAGTTCTCAATCCCACGCAACGTAGTTAGAGCGTTGTTCCTCAAAACAAGTTTTACAAGATGACATGATACCTGCATCGTCCAAAAACAACGGTAAAACCAGAATAAGAGCTTTAGCATATACATGTTTTCAGAACTAAGCCGTCGTGTTTATCAAACTATGGAGACAAGCTACACAGTTCAAATGACAGTAAAAATGCGAACTTCAAGGACAAAAACCGAGTACAACTGCCTTTCCTCTCATCTTACAACCGTAGAAGTAAAAATTGGATCAAATGAAACCTACGCATGGATATATGCTGAAGCCTGAAGTTTCCCACCTGACTCAAGTGAGAGACTGTTCTAAGATGATTGAAACCCAGATCAAGGTGCTTCAGCTTGGTGCATCTCCTTAGGTTATCCATCTTTGCAAACTTGTTTCGACTCAGATCAAGCGACTCAGCAGCTGGAAGAAGCTGCAAGGACTCATCCATGAGCACAAGACGGTTACAAGTACACGATATGACCGCCAACTTATTCCACTCTTGCGAACTCGTTATCTCCGCAATTCTACTGGCGAACACATGCCGCAACGCATCCTATATCCAATGGTAACAACACATTATATAATCGATTCAAAGAAAAGTTTAGCATATGCATAAACACAATCATTCAACATTGCGACCTCAATAACTATACCAATAGTGTTCAATTTCTCTGTGCATAACTATAATCTAAAGAAATGCAGTAAAAGAGCCATAGGAATTAGAAGAGGTAGGAAGGAAAACTGACAGTGGAATTATGGCAGATGATCTTTTCCAAGGTGTGGCGGAGCTCGAGCAACCCCTTAGCCGGAGAAGTTGACAAATCACAGCCACGGAGCTCCAAAACCTTAAGCCTACCAAAGGGAATAAGAGATAACGGCGTCGGATCGCGAGCCGGCGAAGGAAGCGTGGAAACGACCTTAAGTGAAGTGAGGATTCGGAGGATACGGCGGAGCTGCTCGAGCGCGCGGTAGTCTCCGAGATCGGAGACGTAAGCGCGAAGGTAGTCAACAGGAGCACCAGAGAGCATGCGCTCGAGTTCACGGAGAGACTCAAGGCGGAGATGAATATAGTGAAGACCAGCTGGGTTAAGCTTGAGAATTATGGTTTCTTCGAGAAGCGACTCGGCTTCATCTTCTAAAAACTTTTGTAGCTTCTCAACATACCGATCTCCCGTCACAATTGCCATTGAAATTCGGGGGAAATTTAAAAGGTTTGGCTCCTCGGAAACCGAATTAGATACACCGACGATGAAGAAACGCCGAGGAAAGAGATAAAGAAGGCGGAATCGAGAAAGATAGAGAGGTCTAGAGAAGGTAAAAGAAAGGAGGTTTTGGAGGGATAAAGATAGAAACCGCCATGGCTGATGCGAAGAGAGAAAAGAGAGGAAGAAGGCGGAATACGAATGATTGGAGAAAGAAAGGAAATAAAAAAATCAAAGGATACTGTAGAAATTATTTAAAAAAAAAAAAAAAAAACAGTTAAAGGGTGTTTTCGTCTTTTTAGTACATGCGCTAGATTTCAAGAAACACCTGGCAGCCATGCCTTTCAAGAATCAACCTGGTGTCTCTCTCCGCAGGAATATTTTTTAAGATCCCGAACACTTTTTTTTTACTCTTTTTTTTAATGGTTGGAAACATGAAAACTTTTGTTTTTGTTCCTACAGCAGTTGTTTCTTCCATCACTTTTTAATTGAAAATTTATAATATGGAGTATTTCATATTTGTATACTTCTGTAACTAAGTACTGTTTATTAGTTAGTACTTCCTCTGTTTCATAATAAGTATCATTTGGAAAAAATATATTTACATTGTAATTTGATGTATATAAATGTATTTTGAGTTTAATACATCTATATATATTGCAGATACATTTTCTTCAAATGATACTTATTATAAAAGAGAGAAAGAGTATATGATAGTCGTGTGCTATCTGTAAGAAAGTTTATATGTGCTCTGTAAGAAAGTTTACTTCTTGTGTTACAAGTGAATATATACTGAAACAGAAAAGCATCTAGAACTAGACTGTATAAGACATTTCTATAACTTGTACATTTATGAGTACCTTTTAGGTTTTATGTAATGAAGACAGAAGACTAACCAACCTAAGCGACTACTGAATTGTTAAACTTCAACAATAACTTCGACAAGGGATTTTGTTGAGGAGAAAGTAGTTTATTAGGTATTCTAAGCTTATTTGCAACAGTAATAACATCATTTTCTGTGGATTCTAGAGACTATCTTCTTTCCAAACTCAAGGAATCCATCCGCGATTTACTAGAACAAGTAACTTCATGCTAGTGACAAAAAAATAAATGACGAAATAATTAGTTTCTCGTTTTACATCGGGAAGTTTGCTTTACTTCTATATATATTCATCATCTAGACTCATTATCTGAATTCATCATTCCATAAGTTCATTTGTAAAAAAAAAAAAAAAAAAAAAAATTGCATATGGACATATGTATGTGGGTACAATTTTTGTTTGTTTGTAATTAAATCTAGACACACTTTTATATCAAGTTCTAAACACATAACCGAACAACACTGCATCATTTGCATCCAGATGTGGTATCTAATATTACCCACACAAAACACATTACTACACGATAAAAGAGCTTTAGTCGACTAGCATCAAGATGGTATCAAGATCACAAAGACTAATTGTTTTTGTTAATTTGCAATGAAGTAGAGAAAAGCAATCACCTATTTGGTTCATTGGAGATTGGCCATAGGGGTGTAGTGACATATAAAATCCATTTTCAGACCCTTTGGAAATGGATCTACGATTTGGACCACATAAATGTATCTTTGCTTGTCGAAAACTCCTAAAAATCCTAATTTATCAACGTTCTTCTTTACATTCACAAGCTTTATTGGTTCCACTTGCAAGCATAGCTGTCTGAAATCCAGCTGTTTCATTATCTTGAAACAAAGTAGATAGATCATAGTCTCACATTATGTTAGGAGATCTCATGGATTAGGATTTTAGGAGATCGAGTTGGATTCATATACTTATATACTGTTATTAAGAAAATTAACTTCTTGTAAGGAAAATATCTTAGTTATCTAATTTCTTAATATAATACTTTTGAGAAATGGTATGATTTTTTTTACAAAAGTAAAAAAAAAAACCAATCAGCATGTCTAAGTTAAAATAATACGGTCTAAAATCGAAAATTAAACCTAAATATTATATATCTTGGATCTAAAATCAGGATGCATATGCAACTGATTTTCATAAACATTTAGTAATGTTTTCTAAATATTTGGTGTGATATTTTTAGAGAGAATGTCGTATCTTGTAATTATAATGCTCTTAAAGAAAACTATAGGAGAAGAAAGGACTAGAGTATGTAGGAAAACTGATGAGAATATCAGTACCAGACAAGCTGCCTTAAATGATGGAGATTATACAAAAACTGACTTAGAGCTAAACAAGCTTAAAAAAGAGGAGTAAAGGAAGCTGCAAACTGTTTACAAAGAGAACAAAAATCTAAAACTAAAACACTATCGTTCCAAACATCAAGAGGATCAGTTTAATCGAGCCAACTCTTGGCCGGTTCAAATCAAGACACAAGATAACCAAGATCAAATCATCAAGAAACTTTATCATGCACATGGACCAGCAAGTATATATTTGGAGCCATATATAGAAACAACGATTGTATCTCATCAAGGCAACTTATGCACGCCTTCCTTGAAGTCTACTGAAGCCACTCTACGTCCTAAACCACCAGAGCAAGTCGATAACCAAGCTAAATCAGGAAAAACCAAAGTAGGATTTGCCAAACAAGAAGTTTCCTTTCTTGGAATCAATTATCTTGGTTTAAGGATAAATGACGACCAAAGACCATGTTTTCTACTTAATCTCGACCCTCTATCATCTCTAGAAGATACATTCATTTCATGCTGAAGACTCAATGACATCCCCCTTTCATCGCCTCATTCAAGCACCTCGCCATTCAAAACCTTAACTAGGAGAAACGATTACATCACTTAATCCCAAATATTTGCTTCATTTTTATTACTAGTTATGATTTTATTCATGTTATTTCAAGCCCTATATAAGCTCCACCCTTTGCACTTTAATATTGACCAAATTTTAATCAAGAAAAGCCCCCTTTTGTTTGTTTACAAAGAAGTGTCTTTGCAACAATTTGTTCCTGAGATTTTATAAGTTTTTTGTGGAATTAGAGCTGGTTTACATTTTTGTATTGTTTTTTACTGTTCATATGAGAAAGAACCTTTGAAAATTAGAGACATAAAAATGTGTATATAAAATTAAATACATTAATTACTTCATTATCAACCTTCTCTATCAAACAGTTTAGAAAATTTGATTTAATTATCTCAAAAATTGGTGGAATCCATTCTTATATCAAAATATAAATGGCAGCTTGAGTATTTTGTATGCACATGCATAAGAATAAAGCTAAGACAAGACTTTCCCAAAACAAACATAGAAGTTGCTTTTAATTATAAGCCCATTCTACAATCTGCAGAAACAAAAGGTATACACACTGTTCGTTAGGATAAATTAAAAAAAACCTGGCCATATATAACACAAAATAATCTATATCTGTATCCAGCAAAATAAAATAAAACCGGGTGGGTCTAAATTGGTGATGAACTGAGAGAAAAGTTTACACATTTAAACATCGACGTTCTATATATTCTATTGATGACTTGTTGTCTACGTAATAAGGTGATACGTTAATTAATGTCCATGCAAATACAAAAGCGAAACAGCGAACATTCTCAAGAAACCTGATTTGATTACACTTGATGTTTGTGAGTGAGTGAAAATAGCTGATAACAATAAACAAAAAGCTGAAATTTTAAAAATACAATTAATGACATAATTTTCCAAAATTTTAATCAACACAACAATAATCCATAAGTCTCTCCAGGTGATACACCTAAGATTTTTCAGACTTTCTCAATATGACATCTCAGCAAAAAAATCAACCAATAAAAATATTTTATTAATACAACTCATTTAAAAAAAACTTTCAATTCATTTGGGTCAAAAAGTTTATTCAAGATTAACAACTAAATAAAACCCATTACATTTGAAAGCCCATAAGATCTTTTGATATAAATAATTATTTAAAACAAAACAAAATTTCTCTTTTTTTTCCTTCAAATTATTATTAAATATCAGGTCTCCTCAATCTTATTTTATTACTCTGTCTGCTGCATCGGATTTATGAGTTCTTTTTTTAAAAGAAATATGGATAAACAACAAAATACTACTAGCAATTTTTTAGTTTACTTTCTCAGAAAACAATCTTTTAGACTTAAGTTTGATAATTATTTTTCTTTCTTTTTAGGTAGAAAGATTCCCAAATTATTATCCTAATATAGTTCAACTTTTGGCTGACTTTTCGCAGGAAAATACAATTTCACAGTTTTTTTGAGAAAATGCAATTTGACGATTTTGGCGGAAAAATGCAATTTCTCAGTTTTGTTAGGAAAATACGATATATTCGGTTTGACGAGAAAATAATTTTTCTAGGCTTTGGCGGGAATAGGGAATTTCTCAGTTTGGCGGAAATAGAGAATTTCTTGGTTTCGATAGAAAAATGTGATTTTTAGTTTTGGTAAGAAAACATAATTTTCGGTTATGGTTGGAAAAGCAAATTCTCGAGTTTGGCGTGAAAATGTGAATTTTCAGTTTTGGTAAGAAAACAAAAAAAAAATGATTTTGATGATAAAACAAAATATCTTGGCTCCGATTGGTAACACATTTTTTATGTCGCGGAATTGCGGAATGACGGAAAAAATGAATTGCGGAATTGCGGAACTTTTTTTTTACACGATTGGATAAATTATGAAGAATGGCGGAATGGCGGAATTGCAGAATATGCTTATTTAAAAATATTCTGTTTTTACTATGTATTATAAAAAAATAAAATATTAATAATTCAATCAATTATTATAAACTAATATAATTCTAATTGTAACTTTTTAATAATTTGTTTTTCAAAAAAAAAAAAATTAAAAAATATTGCAAGCCTTAAATAACAGATCTTGCGTTTTTGCGTTTTTCCGCTGGTTTTTTTTATTGGCAAAATTCTTGCGTTTTTATGTTTTTCCACCATTCCACCATTCCACAAGTGTTACCAATCAGAGCCCTTAATTTTGACGGAAAAATATGATTTTCGGTTGTGATGGAAAATGAAACTTTTCAATTTTGACTGAAAAATGTGATTTCTCTGTTTTGATAGGAAACACAAATTTTCAACTTTTGATGGATAATATGATTTCTTGGTTTTCGCGGAAAAATGAGTTTTCTTAGTTT